TCTCAAATTCTTGTGTTGTATTGGATGAGACATGAATTTACACTGTTTCCTGTCAACAATTCAGAATAGAATACTTATTTTGTTGACTTATTGCAAATCAAAAATGACATAAAAGTTTCTTTGTATTCTGAAATTCTGGTTTAAGCCTCCTGCTATAGATATATTGAACTGGAAAACTTTTCATATTTTTAATGTGCATATGTATGGTAATATATTGATAAATCAGAATTTTAACCCCACCTCCCTTACCATCACTCAGATATACATCCTGTTGTGGTGGAGATTTAGATTGGATACTAGAAAATGCTTAGTCACACTTCTGGATAATGGGGAGGGGGGGGGGCAATGAACTCCTTGCTGTGAAATTGTAAGAAATTCAGAAATTGACCAGTGATAACTTGACATTATGTAAGCATGGATTGTAAAATAACTTTGTTTTACAATCCATGATGTAAGTAAGGGAGTTAAATTTGCTAACATTACTCTCCAACCATTGGCTATCCCATTCGGCCTCAAATGATTTGGCCCCTATCTGAAACAAGGCTCACTTGCATGCAGAAAATATTGTTGTTATACTGTAATCTGAAAAAAAAAATTCCCTCAAACATACACTGAGCCATACACATAGTTTTGACTGTCAGATGTAAGCAGCATAGTGAGTCGCAATCATGGCCAAAGACATATTAGGTTAATTATTTTACATAATTATTTTTCGTCATTGACATTTGCCACACATGTAATCGGTGAAGGATTCAGGATTATCCTGCATGGAAATAGCGTTTTAAAGTGCTATATAAAACGGTGTTTAATATTCATACTACATGATGGGCATATGGCCAAACAAACACCTTGACCTTGTGCTTTTTTGCTCAAATTTACGCACGCATGATTTTGTATACATAATATAGATTTAAATCTAGCAATTCAAATCCAACACTCATGGAGTCATGCATGACATCAATCTATAATTTATATTTTCTTGAAATGTTAGGTGATTCATTGTTATTGCCGTTGTTGTAACCCATTAAACAGACACACGCCGCCGTTTAGACATGTCACATGTCGTTCTTGTTCCTTACAACGGACGATAAAGCTTCGTATTGCTTCTCTTTAATTTCCAGTCCGGCTTTGTCCAGTCTTTGAAGTAACTTTACAAGCGCGTGTTGAAACAGGTCATCTGTACAAGAACCCATGATGTTTCGAAACACAGAAACCACTTCGAGCACATTTCGACTCGATCATTGTTTACATCATACGTGAAAATTGATACATGTAATACGAGACCGAAATATGGTTGTATTTTGACGAATATTAACGATATAACGAAATATAAAACCCCAATATGTATAATTCCATTAGGTGGTCTGCACATATTCCCTTAATGGTGCAAAATGCAACAAAACAAAAGGAAAATCCAATATTTCTTCTCACCAACACGTCTCCACTCCTCAGTAAAAATTAATGCATAGTCAGCATTTTTAGCTACAGGAGAGCACGTTTACTTCCGGAAAACACCAGAATTTGTGGTGTTCCGGTTTGGCTTGTCCCAGGGCTTACGACAACGCAGGCAGCCGAGAAGCCCTCGGAACGAGGATGGTAGTGTTCCAGTTATATCCATTTCACTGGTTGATGCTCTTTGAAAGCCTGTTTACACTTGGAATGTTCATTGCAATTTCTATGGCAATTTTTGAAAAATCGCAGAGAGTTGCTATAAATTTTGATTGATCATGATCGAAATATAACAAATATTTGCAGCTTGTTGCAGAATTTGCACTGGAATTGCAGTTAATTTGCAGGGCATTTACACTGGCAATTTCATGTCGCCATCACATCAGCAGGAAAAATCCAGTGAACTCCATATCTTTTATCTGGAACGCTAACATGCGGGAGAAACGCGAAGCCCGTGCCAACGTCACTTGACATGTGTGATTCTTGATAGACCGTGCGGTGATTGCGTATAAGGGGATTGAAACTGACATACTATATGGCGTGGCGATGGACCACGCAGTGATGGCATATAAAGGGACTGAAACGGATGTACTATATGGCGAGGAAATGGCATGGAGAGCTGACACCACTGCTCATGCATTTCTCACGCGAGGCTTCACTTTTTAACTGCCAAATGACTGAATGTTATCGTTCCAGGTAAATAGATTGAGTTCACTGGAAAAATCGCACCTGAAATCCCAGCAAAAATTGCAAGTGTAAACAGGCCTTTCAAGTTTACATATAATTAAACTAGTGATATTAAAATATATAAAATGCTTAGAAATACTATATTGCAGTCCAAATATATATAGCACTTCATACATAGGTATTTGAAATAATCAACTAAGCTTTCATTCTTTAACTATCAAAACATATAAACCGATACATGAAAACATGAGACCACGTTCTTACCAAGTCTGTGTTGTTGTCGGTTGGTGCTTTTCCAGCCTTTTTATCAACAATATCTTGAGCTTGTCGCTCAATTTCTGTAGAATAAATGATAAACGGTTAACTATCTATGTTATGAAATGAAATTTTAGGAAATATTAAGCATGAAAACGTGATAAAAACCTTCTCGAGTGAGCGCTGGTCTTGCTAAAGTAGTCGCCATGATTGGAAAATGTTGCGAGAACGTCCACCAAAACCCGGATGATGTGTTTTACGCATGCGTAATAAATTAATCTGATCACACAGCCAACCCAAGACACAGTTTGATAATTCTTCAGTAAAATTTCGGTAATTTGATGATAATAATTCATGATGGTTCTAGAATCTTATGGTATCTGCTATAATGAAGATGCTAAAAGCGATCAATGAAACTCCATCTAGTCTAGATCTCTACTCTAGCCTGCAAAACCCGGTGATTTCAAAAGGCACAAATTTTGTAGCACACGGGCTATAATTTTCGCTGCGATTTCTTGTGCGTTTTTCTTCTTCTGATGGATGTGAACGAGTGGATGAGTTATGAATGTTCAGATGAGGTACATAAACTCAGATCATTCATAACCAATCTGCTCGTTCACATGTATCAGAAGAAGAAAATCGCACCAAAAATTGCAACGGTAAACGAGCCTAAACATGTAATAGGAAATTACTCAACTTGCATGTATAGCTCAGTGGTCTGATCAAAGGGGATGGACGAGAGGGAGTGACAATCTTAAACCTTTCCCTAAACCTTACCCTTACCCTTACCCTTACCCTTACCCTTACCCTTACTCTCACCCTTGCCCTTACCCTTACCCTTACCCTTACTCTTACCCTTACCCTTACTCTTACCCTTACCCTTACTCTTACCCTTACTCTTACCCTTACTCTTACTCTTACCCTTACTCTTACTCTTACCCTTATCCTTACTCTTACCCTTACTCTTACCCTTACCCTTACCCTTACCCTTATCCTTACTCTTACCCTTACCATTAC